TTCAGCAAGTAGAGAAAATACACGTTGACCTTGCCAGAAATGCAGTGTCCTTGTCACTTCCTAAGGCTGGGCACACACCTTACAATCATCGCAAGACAAAAAGGTTGTAAGGTACTTAAAGGAGAACTATGGGGTCAGTGTTTTTCCCCATAGTTCTCCTTGGGGTAACGGGAGGACACAAACTAGCGTCCTCCCATTACCCTAAGCTCAGTATACCGCGAGCTACAGCTCGCAGTATACTGACACACCGCACCTGGAGCGGATCCCGACTTAGATGACGGGATCCGCCCAGCTGCGTGAGTGACAGCTGGCTCTGCCTATCTAGAGGCAGAGCCAGCTGTACCCGCCCCCTCCCCCGTCCGTTCCGCCAGTCAGCGCTGGCAGATCGGAGCGGGGAGAGGGGAATCCAGCCCCTCCCCCTGTCACGGCAGAGAGCCATGACAGGATCGAGAGGTGAGGGAACCCGGTATGTTTTCCCTCACCTCCCGATCTACTGAGCCGACCTGTGACAGTCTCATTGTCACAGGTCGGCTTAGAACTATGACGTGAGTGGAAATCACTCATGTCATAGTTCTCCTTTAAAAAAACGTACGATCTGCCTATCTTGCATAGGCAGATCGTACTTGCGATGATTGCAAGCCACGCTCCCTGAGGGGCGGGCTTCCGATGACCGCAATGCCGAACGGGCAGTGTGCGCTTGCGCACACCGGCCCGTGCGGCTTTTATCGTACGGACATGCCACAAACCCGCCTAACATCGTACGATGCTCGGTGGGTTTTCGAACATGTCCGTAAGTTAAGTCATGCGACCTTACAGTAGTAGAGGTCGCACGGCTTCCACACACCTTACGATAATCGTACGATCGCGGGATTTCCCGCGATTATCGTACGGTGTGTGGGGACCTTAAGAGTTGAGCTAAAAAAAAAAAGCCTAATCTCTCCACGCCCCATGTAAGATGAACAACAGACCAGTTTAAAGTCCAAATGTTCAACATCCTGCCCCACACTATTGCTTAAACTCAGTATAGTAGGTTGCATGGCCAATGGTCCCACTGTATAAATCTAAAGCCGAAATAGCAAGCAATCTTTAATCACTATGCATTAAAAGTAGAGGCACTAGTAGCATATATTTTCAGCAAATCTATGTGGAAGCCACACTGCCCCATCAAGGCCCCTCTGTTTAGCGTGGTCCCTAATCTAACAAAGCTTCCAACCTGGGACATAAAAAGCAATAAAGGCAGGTATGCCTTGAGGAGCCAATTCCTCCTTAAAAGTGCAGACACACTCTAAAAGCCCAGCCCAGACTACTGGCAGCTGAAGACTGTGTGTCCCAGGAATCAATAACCAGCTCTTTAGAGCAGGATGCACATTTCTAGCAAACGTACCAGCCAGTAAACAAAGGAATTCAACAATGTCAGAGTGTCCCGGGAATGGGTAACATTTTGCCTATGCTGGTGACAGTGACAGCTAAAGTAACTTTCCACATCACATCCCATACTATCACCCAAAATCAGTGTAGTAGAGTGTGCAGCCAACAGGGACACCATACAGATCTAAAGCATGTTTTAAAGTCCAGCCTAAGTGGAAACCAAGGCTCCCTCCATAGATGCAGTGGAGGAGTGAGAAGAGCCATCCTGGGACAGGAACTGTGCTCTTAGTACAGATATGCTGCAATAAAACTCAAGAAAATATTGTCTAAATACGAGGCATGCGTATTCTCACAGAATCTTGATGTGCTTTATGTTTTTCTCCCAAATCTGTGCAGTAATGCAGAGAAACTTTACCTCTGTGCAGGAGCATCCTGTAATTAAGACCAGTCATTTCTGCGCTCTCTCCTTGTACAGGGTGACTGGTCTTATATCCGCTCCATGTAGGCTTACTGGGTCCCTTTCCACAGCTCTTCTCTCTATACAGGCTATGTACAGCCCAATGATGATGTTGCAGTCACTATTACAAGGTAATTTTTGGGTTTTCCAAGGCATTTGGTGCACACAAAGTGGATTTCTATTCATTGTGGCTACTGTTGAATATGGTCAAAAGAAAGTTTTTGTACCAGGAGTTCAGCTTTGATTTTATCAACAAACATATATTAATAGTTGCTTGAAGTCACCTAATAGATTTCAAAAGGACAAGAGCCTATCAAAGCATCTTACAAGCAGATCTTAATTAATATAGTCGAGCGAACATAAGCACAATACAGAATGTACATATGGCAATCTGCAATAAAAAAAAAATATTGGCACAAACATATTTTGTGACCTCGCTCTTAATTTTTGAAGTTGCATACAATTCACTTTCGAGAGCTTATGAAATTGAAGAATGGAAATTCTTGCCTGTATGTGCCCTTTATAAAGCTCAATAAGAAAATGTAATGACCTAGTCAGTACATATAAAGTGGTAGGCCAGGCAAACCGCTAACTACAACACTGAAACGGTTTTCTAATAGTAACGGCAATGCTTGCTGCAGTATTCTGTACCCGCCAGTTTCTCAAAAATGCTTCAGCCAATGGTAAACACCATCAGTGGAAATAACAGGGCAATTACACGGATGCCGATATGTAGTTCCCGATTTGCTGCATTTCAGCACTTGCAAATGCTTTCCACTAGTTTTTAGCTAAAGTGCATCATATACCATCCTGCCACAAATATGGAAAAATGTTGGTATATCCAGGGTCATAGTTCATGCAAAGAAAGGAATCAGAACATGGAACTTGTATTTCAAAAATTTAAAATGGCTTTTTCTGCATCAAAGCTTCTTTGTAGAGAAACTAAACTCAGGAGTTAAAATATTAAAAATGCATTCAAGTACCCAGTTAACAAAAATGTATCTTATTTTTGTTAATCACTCGGCTGTAGATCCTCAACTCATCCCTGAATTGGTCCTTCCTTCTGGAGGGTTGCTACTTTTGTTCCCCATGGTCCCTGTGTGTGTTGCAAGTAGCCACCGCTCCAAGCTTGCTCCTGTGATGTACTACAATCTCAATAAAATTTTGCACAGTAAATATGAGATTGTAGTCAATTGTTTTTTATTTCGAATTTTTCATTAAAGTTTTGTTTTTTGTAAATTTTTCAGTGATGATTTACAAGGAAAATGCACAATCTTCAAAAGAAGAAACCTTTTTTTTCTTTGTTTCATTTGCCATGTTTTGTACCAGAAATACAATTTTAATGTAATTTTGGGACAAATTATAGAATAAAATGTACCGTATATACTCGAGTATAAGCTGTCCCGAATATAAGCCGAGGTACCTAATTTTACCACAAAAAACTGGGAAAAAGTATTGACTCGAATACAAGCCGAGGAAATAAATTTTTTGTTAATAGTTAAGGTACATGAATGTATTTTAAAGATTCAACTCCTGAATTTAATGTCACTCTAGGAACTGATAACTGGTCCTTAGCTAAGCTTGGAGAACTGACAAAGGACTGGGCAGCGGTCTGAAATGTTGCTACAAAACAATAGTAGGGCTGCAACAACTAATCGATTATAAATTGATAAGAATCGCTGCCAATGATTCTTATTATTGATTAGTTGCTTTAGGATTAGTTGCTGCTGCTGCTGCTCTGCCTCTGTTCTCCTCCACGCTGGTACTGGCTGCAGCGTTCCATGTCCCTTTCAGACTGCAGCAGACACCAGCAGGGATTAGAGACTGTGGTGACTCTGCATTCCCCCGCTGCTGCATCGTTCCTTCTCCGCTTGTCTGTCCCTCCTAAGCCCCCTTCCTCAGCCCCACCCCTCCACTGCCGTCCCATTCTTCAGCATCTAGGAGGCTGGGAGCCATACCCAGCCTGCCATTGGATATTTCATATTGCAATAGCCAATAACAGGCTGGCTTTTGCCCCCACCCACTGCCAATCAGCAGAGGAGGACCTAATGGAGAACTTTCTTCAGGTTCCTCTTCTGTTGATTGACAGCAGGCAGCGGGCGCAAAGGGCAGCCTGTTATTGGCTATTGAAATTTTAAATATCCAATAGCAGGCTGGTTATTGCTCCCTGCAATAAAGTTAAAAAAAAAGTTTAAAAAAATAATGTTAAACTAAAAAATATAATATACAATTTCAATGGATCCCACATGTACCCCCTGTCCAGTGATCCCCACACAGGAACGCTCGGGTACTGCAATGCCCGGTGTTTCAGTGCTGTGTGATTTCAAAAAATGTGCATACCGTTTTATTCCAAAGTAAAACTTTATGTCTGTATCACTACATGTGTTAATTTTAAATAAAGGACCGTATTAAATTTTTTTTTATCCGATTGAGCGAAGTTAATCGTCTAATCGATTATGAAAAGTTAGTTAGCTGCAGCCCTAAACAATAGAATCTCAGTCTCTTGCTGTGCAATTTACTTTTAATCTAGGTGCAATAAAAGCCATTTAACATTTTTGAAATATTAGCATATTATTCTGTACAGCAAAGGTCAATGATGTGCTAAGTGCAGTAATTCATAGAAACAAAATTAATAGCATTTTAATCTTTTATTACTTAAATACACCATACTAGAGCAAGTCTCTGAAAATATCACAAATAAAAGTTTATCTTCAATCAGCAAGTAGGTGAAAATTTCTACACAATAGCAGATTCTTTCCCCGCCCCTTCCCTTTATCGCAATGGGAAGTAGCAACGATAGGACAAAACAAAGAAAATTAAAGTTAAAAAAAAAAAAAATAATAAAATAACACATACATGCATACGTACATTGTATTTTACAGAGAGATACTTTAAAAGTGTTTGTGATAAAGTACCACAAAAAAAAAAAGCTACAACTCCCCTTTTTTATCGTTATGTTCAGTTTGAATGAACAATCTTCCTCACAGCACATAAAATATACAAAGAGTGAGTAGAGTGTTGTCAAGGGTAAGGGTGCAAATGCTGGCAAGTGCCCTGCTAAATTGGTAATGAGGGTGGGTAAGCAGTTTTTAAATGCATCTTGAAACTGGATTCATGAGTCATTTTCACCCTCGTGAATAAGTCCTCTGGTGAAACCGCTTGTTTCTTTTTTTTAATCTCAGTGTCCCCATTAGCCCGGATCATGAAGTCCTTAATATATATGTCTTCAGTCATTTTCAAACACCAAGAAATGTGGAAAGGGCAACCAAAAAGAGGAAAAAAAAAAAAAGGTGCAATGGCGTGAAGCTGGCACGGATGCTAGCTACAAAAGGTGACTTGTCTACTGGAGACATATGGGATCCATCTGCGATGAAAGAACTTGAGATGAAGGCACACTTTGTTTTAGTCCAACCTTTTAACAAACCTAAAAAACAAGAAGAGAAAAATACTTTTAGGTTCTGGAGAAACCACAATTAATTAAAGCACAAAGGCAAAGTTATAGGGAAAAGTTCATAGAAAACAGATCCCCCATTTAGATTGGAGGTTATGTTTAATCACAAATTCATGAAACTCTTGGAAGGGTCTCCATGCCAAAATCGTCAATTACCAACTTATTATAGATGTTCTATGTCAATAAATTATTTTGTCCAGCCTACATACCCTTATGGAGAATTACACAGTAAGGGGGATGGGGGGGATAACCTGTTGGTGGGGACTCCTTTATACTGAACTTGTTGCTTAGCCCAGCAAATAAGGTTTTGGAATGTCTGTGTCACATGGGAGGAAGAGGAACAGGCCACATGCTCTGTCCATACTTAGTACTACCATGCAATTTAGATCCAGGAGGCAAAAGAAAAAAACGGCACAGGATTAAAAGAGAAGGGGGATTATAAACTGCTGAAGAGGCTTCTATTTGCATGGGCAAAGTGCAGGTTCATTTTGAGTGACAGGCGATTGACATCTGAACAATAGAAGGTAGTTTGGAAACAGACTACTATACTAAAAGAGTTTAGGCAAGATTAAAACTGGCATGTGCAATTTGGGACTCCTACTTAAATTTAGCATCAGGAGGCTGAAGATGCTTGGATAGAGTCATGGAGCAATTACGCTGGGGCAGAGTAGTAGGCGAGTACTACCATCTTAGACACTATATTCTTCCCATATATTATTCAGCACATGCAGCTTTGTGAATGATCAACTGTACAAACAATCCACCAGACCTTTTCATGCTTGCAAATATTTGAATATCAAATAAAATGTTTCAGTACTGTTCCTAAACATTGCAATCAACTAATGTTGATCGTGTAGATTCATGTACTAATTTTGTTTTTACAAATCAAACAAGAAAAATAAAAAATTTGATCAGTGTTGCTTCACTAAAAAAAAGCCACAAATTTGATTGGTGTTGCTTAGTACAAATGTCTGTTATAAAACAAATTAGTTGCAATTTAAACAAGATATTCTTCTATGCGCAGGAGTTTTAAATAACACTGTGAACTTTCTAGGGCACCAAGTTAGTAAAACCTGAGGTCTACGAAGGAGTTCAAGGCCCCCGCCCCCTCCTTCAGGAGAACCACACTTTCAAGCTAATTAAAGTGGTTCAAGAGTGGAGGTTCAATTCCCAAGAGTTGAAGCTCAGTGTGAGAAAGGTAATTTGGCTGTCCAGAACAAAGAGATTAGAGAGCAGCCAGTGAGCATATTTAATAAATGAGCATCAAATGTCCTCTACTATGGACACAGACAACTCCAATTATATAACAACCGGGGAATTGTTGAGTGATATGTAAACTAGAAGATTTTTTTTTAATAACCAATAAAGTGAAAGACACAGGCCTTCAATTAAAACAATCCAGAGGAGTTAACATAATACACCAAATGTTGAGTGATTTGTACAGGTGAGTTTACTTGCTTTGCCACCCCCTTGCCAAACACAACGCGACAAAGAATTCAATTAGCAAGTAAGTAAACACCAAAGGGTATATATGCATGCAACAACTAGTAGGCTGGTAATTATTTAGTGAAATGGGTCACAATGAAGCCTCAATACACCGTAGTAAAAGTAATAAGGTTTTTTTGGGAGGATAGTTGCTCTTATTTATATAGATTTTTCAGGTGTTCATACGCAGCCTGTTTAGTGAAGGATTACCTCTGTGATAAATTTGAGCAATAATGCACATGCAGCACAGGTCAGAGAATCTCATTGTACACGTGTCAGGAGGTAGATGTGTATTGCTTTCCATGTTTTGAGAGCATCTCCAGCTATTTTCTTTTTAGCTTTGCATATATTGGGGTAGGGCAAGATGATGTGTCAGGTTTTAAATGCTGTCTCCATTAGGGAGAACCCCTTAGCTTCCTGTGTGGTCACTGGGACAAGCAATAGAAACCCTCCCCCCCCCCATGGCATGAACAACCTGAGAGTTTTTTTTAGCTTCCCCACTCTCCTGCCAAAGGTGCTTATATTTCATGTGTCCCTGCTGGAGGGCACTCGTGATTTCCTGTACCAGCCTCCACTCAGAAGTGGAAAGGGGACAATGATAGCATGAAAAACCTGACAGGTTCTAAAGCTTCCCCCACTCTACTGCAAAGGTTCTTAGATTTCACATGTCCCTGTTGGAGGGCACTCGTACCAACCACCACTCAAGTAAAATGGAAGTCCCCCAATATGGGGATACACACAACTAAAATCCTGACAGAATTGCTGCCATTTTCTTTATTCCTGATACAATGCCACGTCAGTCGATTGTTTTTTATAAACACAGGTGGTATGTATGCATTATCTTCTTACTTGCATAAGCTAACTCTTACATGATCCCAAGTGATCAGAGGGAATTGGTCTCAGGCGGCATAACAATTTGTGGCTGGCAAACAAGGCATGTTTCCTGTAATCATTTTAAGATTGCACAAGGACCCACAGGGGTTAAAGATCAGGTAGGTGCTACAAGTGTTTAGATGTGCCTGAGAAAAACACCCCTAATGCAACGGCCCCAAGATACCTACTGCTGATCAGTCGTAAATAATAATTAGCAATATGTCTATATGTAATCTATTATTCAAAGATTATTGCAGAATACAATCTCTGGGAGGTTTAAGTGACTCAACACTACTTCTGGGTGATCAGCTTTTTGTACCAATAAGACTACAAATAAAACCTCATTACCATCGTAGACCAGTTAGAACATCAAAATTGCCCAAAGGACCTCTGGAGTCTAATTTCTATGTATTTTTAACTTTACCACCACTTTAATTATACATACAAATGTTCATTTGATTTACTAGCTTTAAAGTGTGAAGCCGTGGTGGCGATAGGGCCACCCACAACTCAAACTGTGTCCGATTCAGCAGGAATCGGACAAAAATTCAAGCTCTATATGGAGGACTTGATTGTTTGACCACACTGTTATGGCTCAACTGTTTAATTTTGTACAGGATAAAATGGAATATATAGTCTAGTTTGTAGGGCTTGGTTTCAGAAATACTAGAGAATATAAGGTTCAAGATAAACATAATGGGATACAAATATGGAGATGCTATTGTCAGTTTGAAGATTCCTCAATACTTGGCGGTCATACTTATCCATGTCTAAATACTGTCCTGGAGCAAGCATAATTGAAATCAAATGTCAGTGAATTAAATATGTTTGTTCCAGGTCAGCGGCATAAAACCAGTGAATGAAGGATAAAGCTCACCATACACTTTACAAAATCGCACAGTACAATCTTCTTTTAGATTTAGCAAAACTACAGGTAACCATACACATTTTGTTTTCTCTTGAGATTCGAACCATACATGCGAAATAGTGCGGATGGAGGAATTTCCAGTGCTGGCTATTGTGTATTCAGACAATCGGTAACCACAGCTGCCGGAATAGCGGATAATTGTGGCACTAGACACAGTCAATGTTATTGGTGCCAAAAAGGGCCACTCATGGCTCAAAGTTCGGCTGATTGAGCAGAAATCGACTGAAATTCGAGCCATGTATTGCCAGCTTTACCAATATACGGACCTACTTAAAACTACCCATTTCATTTTCATCAGGCAGTCTTTTGCAACAGTCAGATTGTAACACATGTCCCTGGAGTTAAAACCTTGCAAACCTGTCCAGTACACGGTAATGAGGGACAGAGCAGTCTCCAGCAGCTGTTCTACTAGCCTGCAGAAGGAAGGAGTAGCGTGTACCTGTATGTTTGTGGAGACACACATACAGCTTACTAGCACACACAAGGGTGGCTCCAAAGGACCCTGCAAGGGAAAGGAGCCATCCTAAAACAGGATATCAGGGCCAGTGCTCAAGGCATGATTCTGCAGAAAACATTTACATATCAAGAAACAGCATTCACTGTATATGATTTCATCAGCATTTAAAATACCTTTTGAGTTTCATATCAATTTAATATTCACATTACTCATAAGTGTTCCTTATTTGCTCTGCCACACTTACTATTACTAAAAGCTAATGGAAGCATGTATATTGTGCTGACCAATACACACCATAAAACGGACCGACTAAAAGGATTTAAACCGCCACCAACTTAGCTGCAGATATCTCAGATATAACCTAACATTCAAGCTGTGCATAAACTTACATGGTGTTCTAGCTAACTATTTGCCCTCATCAGCTTTCTATTCTTTACAGCAGTGCAAATGTCAGTCAACAGTATATTTATCACCAACTAGCTGATAATTTTGTTTGTTGATTCGGAGTGTGGAGCCAGGTAACAAGGAGTAAGATAAGTTACCCATTGGCTGGGGGGGTGGGAGCTACTGGAGTCCTGCATACACGTTCCAAGGGACCGGAAAAAAAAAAAAAAAAAACAGCAGACCAGAGGTCCACCTTATTGTCCCTTCTTTATTTGTTGGATAAAGATGGCATCACATACAAATGCAATGTTTCAGAACCTTATGTGGTCCTTTCATCAGGCAAAGACAAGGCAAAGAAGATCCCTTCTATCATGCCTGAAGGGACCAAATAAGGTTTTGAAACATTGCACTTGTATGTGATACCCTGTTTATCCAACGTCAAATAAAGACAGGACAATAAGATGGACCTCTGGTGGGTGCAGTAATGTCCTGCAGATGGCTCCACTGAGATCAACGTATAGACGAAAAAGCCACCAGCACACCAAAGCATTTTATTTGGGATTCTGGTCTGGAGTGCGAGGGGACATTCTTTACCTTTAAAACAATAAAGGCCAGTCAAAAAAAAAAAATGCCCTTCTCCAAGAGAGACCAATGTAGCTTAGCCCACCAGGCACACAGCTGGTATATTCATAGCCGAAAGGCAGAGAATATGTAGTAATAGCTTCTGCTTGTACTGTACAACCAAGCATGAGCTATGAAAAATACAGAGCTGGAATGGTGGACCACTTATTAAAAATGCTAACTGCATGGCCATTTTTTATTCTAGTTTTTTGAGTCACTGACCTG